AAAACACATTATTTTGTTTATGATGTATGTACGAGAGAAGCGGGTCATCTAATATCAAAAGTGCATAAAGAGAAATATTTTAAAGGTTTGTTGATATCTTCCATTTTCTGACATTTTGATACTCTTATAATTCTTAAGCATTCGTGAGAGAAAGAAAAAAGACTTAAAATATGACAATGCGTTTGTTATTATTATTAAGACGAATGTATTTATCATAAAAACTGTTATAATAGTAAAATAAAAAAAACACACATTTAATGTAATGTTTTGTTATCTATCTTATGTACATCTGGATATACGGTATAGCTCACATTTAATTTGAAAAATTTGGCAGTGATTTTTACGTTATTAAATTCTTATGACGTCATAGGCACCGTGCAGATAATTGGTTAATGCCTCACAAATCTTATTTGAAAGCGTAAAAGCGTAAAACTTTTAAGCGTGTCTTTTGCGGCTCATTTCAATTCCGTAATGATTGCGTGTATACATGCGTAAATAATCACTTGCGTGAAGTTTAAAGTAAGGATTCGATAGAACGGATAATTTGTTATGTCTTTGGAGAACGTGCTTGCACTGTTTCTAAACTGAAAGTGTATTTTTGTTTTCTCATTTCACTGCATAATTACAAAAAATTAAAAATCAGATGCGCTGAGTGTTTATTTTAAATTGCGTAATTATGTACATATTAACTCCCTATCGTTATTTCAGAAAACAACGTAGTGCAAGCATGCATTCCGATTTGAGAAGAAATCTATAAAAGTTTGTCTAAAATGAACAATGCATTTTTTTCAATTTGTAATATTATTTTAGTAAATATTTTAAAATGCATATTCCAATGTGGGTAAAAATGTTTTTAAATACGTAGGAATAGTAAGGTATACGTTACTATCATCGATCTTTGGCCAAAGTTCTATCCCCTGAAGATGTCGAAGGCGGTAGGGCCCCAACATTTGATGACATCTTGGATTCATGACAAATCATAACTGTTGTATAAACGTGTATTCTTACATGAATTGATATGATCAGTGTTCTGACTGAAAGACAATGACCTGATAAAATCACATACCTTTAAATATAAGTTTGTCTAGTGGATGCGATGCCTACTTTGCAATAAAATAGTTTTGGTATCTAGCTTGGCAGAATATATTTGAATTATCCTCATAAATGTTACACGGGTAGAGTAGAGTAGAGTAGAGTAGAGTAGAGTACAGTACAGTACAGTACAGTACAGTACAGTACAGTACAGAACAGAACAGAACAGTACAGAACAGTACAGTACGGAACAGAACAGGACAGTACAGTACAGTAGAGTACAGTATTATTTTATTTAAAGGTTATATTTGTAACAACAGCCATTACCATTACCATGTAAATGAAAACCTATGCGGATATCAAATAGCAAAGAGTTACATTCTTTACCAGATACTCAAGCGCAAATAAAAAATACAACTAGAAACAATTTTTTTTTTTATTTTAAATCAATATAGAATTGAGAATGGGAACAGCGATATTTAACTGTTTATTTTCTATTTGAGATAATGAAGCTGTTAACATTTTAAACTCTAGAAAAAAGAAGCAAATGTTGATCTTAGTTGAAAGATTAACGAACATAAATACAAAGTAATGAAAGAGTGTTATATATCATTCAGTTATTATATACTTAAAGTTACAAGTAATAAACCAATCCTTTATAAAAGATACAGTCATATAAATTTAATTCAACAAACAAGTTGCTGTTGAAACATTCAGTTTTGTATATCAAAAGTGCATTTACTCTTAGAACTACATTAATTTACTAAAAATTAATTGTAGTTCAAGATAATTGATATGAAATGTAAATATTTCACTGTGACATTATGCATATTGGAAATTGTAACTTGTATATATTTGTATATGTGATGATGTACTAATTGAACAAGTCTTGAATAGAATTGTTGTTCTATTCTGTTCTGTAATTATCCTAAAACAACTGCGTTATTGTGCGAATGCAGTTATTGAAGTCATGAAAAATCAAGGTGATTTTTTTTTCTTGATAACGGACAAATTCAACATTTAAAATACGATTGGGAATGAAACTAAAGTGATGACAAATCACAACTATTTTTTTTTTCTCTAAATGTACGGGTAATTGACTAATGCTCGTTATTTCAATTTGCAACTTTAATTTCATTTTCGCACAAAGCTATCTCTTAAGGCGTTGAAATTTAATCTTTTGATTTCACGCTTTAATCTTCCTTTCATTTATCCTATAATACCAACGAAAGATATATCTTTTTATCCAAAGAAACTTTTGCAAATGTGTTTATGCTTATGGCACTTTAAAATAATTTATATATTTTCACCTCTTGGTGTTGTATTATGCAGCAATTTATTGCCACTCTACCCGTCACTTCACACGGTAAAAAGTACAGAATCATTTAATCACTGCTTTTGTTTCTCATTGCATGAGGCAATTGACGAATGTTTTGCACTTTGTTTTATTCTGATTAAAGTAAATATTGTTCCTGCTGGTACTTAGGTCCTGAGTTAACCGCAAACCGCAAAGTAATCAAGGGCATATATTTCTTTGATCTACAGATGTTTATAAAATCTGCGGGGTATTTTAATATAATTATAAAACACGTTTGAGAGATGGCACGAAGGAGATGTAATTAAAAGATAAGTTCTTCCTCTGCTTTGTAAAGATGAGTTTGATACGGGACGAGACATATTTTTGCATTATATAATAATTGATGGCGTCAATGACGCTGTTAACCTTTTCCATGATACATGTTTTGCAATGGTATAGCATTTCTGATGAATTATTTTTTCAAGGATCATCTGAAATATGTCAGGATTATTGGAATACTTAGACTGAGATGAGTCCGGTCACACCTTACAGACCGAAGCTGCTGGTACAGCTAGCTCCGGACCGGCGCCATGGGAAAATGATTTGTTACATAGGCGATAATATTTTACTTGTTCACTCGATTTTGTGAACAAAATTTAAACACATGAAATTATAGTGTAATTGTCTTAAGTAAGTTAAGTTATGAAATAAAATGATCATATCTTTAATATAACCACGCAAGAGGGGTTATATTAGCACCGTCTTGATATCTTCACATAGGTTATGGAAAGACATAAACTTGTATTGAAGTAAGCAACTTAATGCTTAAAAACGCCACCACAGTTGAACAAATTTCGTTTCATGGTTAAAACATTTAAAACTTATCCAATTTATATGTAATGTGCGTGTTTTTGAGATTGTGTATTATTCACAATAAATTTACAATCATTCCCTGTACATTGAATCATTTCGTGTTTGTATAAAAAAGAAATGTATCATTTCAAGTATATATATTTCTTCCTTTGTATAAACAGGAAATGTATTATTTCAAAACACTTTTTTGACACAGTCAAATAAAAAGCTTCTCATTCGGCGAAAAATATTTTGATTTAATAACATCTCCTAAATTGTGTGCTTCCCGTACGTCAAATATGACGTTGGAACGCTGGTGAAAGCTTCTGAAATATCCAAAGAAATGATAAGATCTGATTAATATTTCACAGCCCAGTAAAGAGTATATTTGGAATGGTGAACGATCACAGTGTCTGCATGGGCATTGATTTACCAGATAGAGCCAAAATCGCTCAAATAGGTGATAAATTACAGGCCGATTGATTTGCAGCAATCACGTGATAAAAAAACTAGACACTTCAGACAACGCAAAAAAGTAGTCCCATACGGTGATTTATTACAATTACATATATTGATGAATTATCATGACCACGGGGGCCTTTTTGACGATGATTAAGGAAAAAGACGTTATCAAAATGGAATTGCATTATATTTATAAAGAAATAGGCGCTGATTTTTTAGACTCTTGAAGGGTTCTTTTTCTATGGTTTCCGTTTTCTTTGTTCATTTTTATCCGTAACAATTTTTGAAAAGACTTAAAACGAACGTTTAATTTACAAAATGATTGTTTATAACTCTCAATTTCCGGCAAGCGAAAATGTTTATCATGCATTGTTTTCATGCTTAAAGCATCTGACGGGAATTTTCAATTCATATACATATTATGAAATGTTATAACTGTAATTAATCATAATCGGGCCATATAAAAGGATAATATATTATTTATTGCTAAATTTGTAGGTTATTTAGAATTAAAATCGTTATCTTGTGTACATAGAAGTATAGATTATATAACTTATGAATTATAGATCATTGTAAATGATATGTAATTAAATCTCGGAATTAAACACCAGTTGACGGTCAAAGAAACCGGATAAATCCGAACATACACATAGTATGAGATAACTGTTTCAAACCAGTTTATACAATTAATCCGTGAGATACAAAAAATTGGCCCCATCTGTTTAACATATACTGCTGTTAAAAGGAACATGATTTTACAAGTTTTAGATATTTATATAATTATATTTCACTGTTATGAACTGTCGTAAAACTCACGTCTCACCTAAATAAAACATGACAACTGTTACAGACAATTGTTCTGTATTTTTATAGTGTATAAATTAAAATCTAAAAAATTTTTCATTATTACATGAATAAAATTGTTTTTAATGACTGTACAAATGAAATTACTTGCAATATAGTCTAAAAAGTTAATATGTTAATAATACTTGTGAAACTCACATTGCAATTGAAGGACTGGTATTTGAAAACTGTTTATAGTGTTAATTCTACAAGATATGATGTTGGAACTTCAACTTGCGTCTGAAATAGTCATATATCTGTACATTTATTTCGCGTATTCTCCTTTTTATCAGGACAACAGGCAAACCTGTGAAAGAATTAAACCATCAATTGGAACCCTTTTCATATTTGGCATTCGTTTAGGCGGAGGGGATGTGGATTTCATTACATTTTGCGACTATATTTGATGTGCCTTTCATAATTATATTAATAATTTCGCATTTAATTTATACTACATGTGAGAATTTTTAGCGTGGGTATGCTGATTTTATAACTTTTCAAACATATTTCTCACCTTAAAAAGTCTGAGTATGTTGGCCACCATGATAGACACGGTGCTTGCAGCAGCACCTATGACTCCGGTCACCGGTTTAAGTCTCACATATTCCGGCGTCCGACCGTCTTTACACTTATAATCCGCTAGGTCTATGGTTGTCATTTGAGCTTTAATAAAATCCATGCATTGCTCGAGCGCGTACGTGTCAAAGCTGCACGTGTCTAAAATATGAACTCCTATTTTTAACCCAGGAAGTAAGGTCGGATCTTTGTTGATTCGATCAACGGCAAACAACATGGCCTCGAGTCGTTGTATCCCCTTTTCTCGTTTGATGTCGCCGCAGTTTTCACCTTGCTCTCTACCCTTTTCGTGCATAGGAAATAATCCCCCAAAAATAATATCCCCGTGTGTTTTTAATTTAGTCTCGTCCTTTGAATATGTATTGATGAACAAATGACACCCGATTACATAAATGTACATAAAATTACGGTAATATTCCATGTTTACTTATTCGCATAATCCGCAAAGAAAGTCACATTATATTATTACATCGCTAAATCTTAAAATATTTAAAAGGCTATTTAAAACGTAATCCTGTGGTATTATGCTTACTTCACATCTAATTTTCTAGTTGATATCTATTTTGTTATCCACAGTAATTACTTTGCTTCACAAGATGTTTTCAATTTAAGAGCACTTAAGCCGACCGCGCTTTAATCTCGCCTCTTTGGATACATCGTATATTGTAGTTAGCAGTGTTATTTCAACATTCTGCACCTTTCGAATTAAATCCCGTTTTAACGAATTAAGAACAATTTTGTTTCTTTGACATATGATACATTGTTAAGTTTAAAAAACAGTATAAAAGAATTAAATCTACATTTATCCGAGGAAAATAAATTACCGATATAAATAGTACAAGTCTAATGTTCATTTAAAAGTGATCATTCAAACTAGGCATATATGCTTCAATAGCAAATTTATCAATTTCAAATGATTCAGCGCACTCTTTCAAATCACAACCTATCTTTTCAGTACGAAACTCAATCAATAAAGCAATTATTTTTATAAGCTTCCTTCAGATTTGTTGCCACGAACTCATTTTCACTTCTTATGACCAGGCTTTTCAATTAAGTACCAATCAGCATCTATTCAGAACAACATATTTATTCAAAATGAGATCCTTTTAGATATAATTTGTCACCGCTTCCGGTATACTCGTTCAGCACTTCCGGTTGCAAGGTCAAACGCAGCAGACGACATAATAAGTGACTGCTAGTTACATGGTTTTTCTATATAGAATTAGTTTATCTTTTATCAAATAACGTACGATTTAGTTAATATTTAACTATGAGAAAATATTTTTCACAAATTCAATATAGCCGCGGTACGCTTCCATCGAACACATTTCTAAAAGAAATAAATTAAAAACAGTGATTTGTATCATTAATAAATAAACACCAATAATAAATAGAATACATCCGCGTTAAGTCTCACATACAATTTTAAATAATATGTGACTTTTTTTTCTTTCTCAGAGTAAAAAGTTTCCTGGAAGATAAAATCACATTTTACAATCTGTTTAATGAATTCCTACGCGTAATAAAATGAATATTATTGTTCCAGACTTAACCGCCCAATATATTCCTGAAACAGATCAAACTGTCATCAATGTGTCCAATAGGTAACATTTAGCACTTCCAATCCAAGGAAGTTCAGTTGCAAAGTGCGACGCTAGATGAAATTCTGCGGATCGATTGGTTATCGAAGTTACCGTTCGTCTAAGATACAGAAAGAGTCGCAGAAATAATAACTGATTTTGTGTGTCGCTAAAAATCCGAAAAGTTTCAGCAAATTTCCCTAGATGTATTTTTGCATCGCCTTAATTGGAAAAATCTCATTACCATATCCCCAGGTTTAATTTAAAGCAAGAGTTATTAGGGACTGATCAATTGCGCATACTTCTCCATATGTTTCTCTCTGGAGTATAGACACTGGCTCCCCGCGTCAGACTTTTGAGCGTCTCTTTATGTAATAAATGTATTGTTTGCATAATATATACTCTTATATTTTCAAACACAGGTGAAACAGAAAATGAGGAAATGGTGAAATATTCTAAAAAGGCATTGTGAAAAAAAAACTCTGTCATACATGTAGGACTAGAAAAACAAATACAATTACTCGATGTATTCCGCTTAGATTTCACAGCTTTATATAAACAACATCAATAATATTGAAATAAATAAATAAATAAATAAATAAATAAATAAATAGAAATAATTTTCAAAATTATTAAAAAGTAATGACTAGAAAGAAATACTAATTGTTGATAAAGAAAACTTATCTACCCCCTCCCCCCAAAAAAAATAAATAAATAAAAAAATAAAAAAAAATGTACGTAACTTTTATACATCACTTCAATCTACAATACTTACATTTACTTTATCATCTACCTCCAAAAAAGGCTTGTAATTATATCTAATATACATGCTCTAGATCGTTTACTAAAATACTATTAAATACAGGTTTGCCCATTCTGAAGAATAAACAAAAGTTTTCATTTCTGATACACTGTGTGCTTTTGATGTAATTATACAAAAAGGATGGAAGGTATGAAGGAAGGAAGGAAGGAAGGAAGGAAGGAAGGAAGGAAGGAAGGAAGGAAGGAAGGAAGGAAGGAAGGAAGGAAGGAAGGAAGGAAGGAAGGAAGGAAGGAAGGAAGGAAGGAAGGAAAAAGGGAAAAAAAGAGAAACGCCGGTGTTCTAAGAAAATTGATATATCCTATACATTTGAAAGTCTGTGCTGCATGTTAATTGTTAAAATCGTTGGAAAACGATGCTTATTTGCTTATAGCATACACGTTACCATCAAAAATACAATGTACACGCAAGAAAACGGAAGTGAGATTTTTAATCTCAACAGCTAGGAATCTGCCATGTCAGCTCGTTTTTGTTTTGTTTTTTTTTTTCCTCTAAAATAATTAAAAGCTATGACCTTTCTATGTGTTTAATGTTTTAGTATATTTATATCTTCTCTCTGTTCTTGTACAGACCACCAGTTTTATTTTAGTGGCGTGTCAACTGTTCCGAGACTACGGATCTATACCATTTGATAAAGAGACATTTATGGATATGCCGGCTTGTAAGATGTTCTTCCTACGTCTGTAGTGTCTGTCTTTGAATATAATTCTCATCATCGACTAAGTAATCGAAATACGAGAATTAGTGTATAATAGAAAAAGACGTCTTCTGAGACCTTAGGATAGATATAACGTAAAAGCATTACCAATGAATGAGGATATTATTTATCACGTGTTAACAAAAAGACGAACTAGATTTAACATGACATGAGTTTATCCCCGAACTCTTTAAAAGCCAAAGAAGCCCGAAAAAACAATTTTATTTTATATGTTAAATGTTTATTTTTATTTATTTATTTATTTTTTATATTAATTAATTAATTAATTAATTAATTTATATTTTATATTTTTTAATTATTTATTTATGTTGGTGTCCTGTTAAAATGCCAAAAGTTTCTCATTGACAATGTAGCAAAACAGTACTGTGTTGTTCTTATTTTTTATTTTTTATTCTAAATGCAGTTACATTTATTTAGGATTTTGACTGGAAATCAAAATACCACTTTGATAACAGTGTGCTGCCTGTGTCATTTTTTCATATTTAGAACTATTTTCATGTAGCTCACATGTTTTATCTATTTTTAAAACAACAACACATGTTTGCTACAGAAGGAAGCATTTGAACATTTCTGAGACAGAGCGTACCTTTAAAAGATCCTGTATGTTGTTATTAAGGTTGTATACCACATTTGATTGAAAATTTGACTAGTGAGCCATTGAATATGATGTGATATTCACCGACAGATGACATATTGACCGACGCGATAGACGAGTTTAATATGACTTTCTGTCGGTGAATATCACATCATATTCAATGGCTCACTGGTCAATAATTGTTTTATTATATAATTTGGCTAAGAAATAAAAAAAATCACAAAAATACATGTACAAGTTTTGCCTCGTTGAAGCGCGGGGAAAAAAGACGCATGTGTTAGGCGTGCAACGACTACGCGAACGCTGCGCATACAAAAATAATTTAAGTTTATACTCATCATTGTGGTGTAGCCTAAAAGTATAATAGTAAAGTAATGATATTTTAATCGAGAAATATGCCATAAAAACAAATTTGGACCAATGACATTGCAGCTTTTTTTTTTTAATGCGTTTATTTAAGGTCGCCGCCGGAAAGCCCATATGGGCGACCGTACACTCAAGTCGGGCCATCCTAGAGCGTCCCGCCGAGATTTTTTTCGTCGATTTTTTTCCAGCTTTATTGGTGGAGGAAGACCCCAGGTACCCCTCCGGGCATTATTTCAGGCACGAGCGGGCACCTGGGTAGAACCACCGACCTTCCGCAAGCCAGCTGGATGGCTTCCTCACATGAAAGAATCCAACCAGGGGGGGTCGAACCTACAATGGTGAGGGACCTGTGATCTCAAGTCAGCGACTTTAACCACTCGGCCACGGAGGCCCCAATAGACATTGCAGCTATATTTAGATCATATAATAAAGGTATATAATTATGCTTATAAAACAATTTTCAAACATCGAAGAATATGTAAAATATGTACTGTACTGTAAATATGTGTACATATTATATGTAATCATTAAAATATGCTTTCATTTCTTATTGAAACATTTGACTTAGACTTTATAGAAAATAAATTTTTTATTACCTCCCTTTATTTTTATGAAATGTTAAATTTAGTAATATCTTTATAAATAATGCTTTTCGGAACTTACAAAATTGATAAATCTTAATTTGAGCATAATATTTATGATATAACACCATAAAAATTGTGTTACAGGATCTTTAAATGAGCCGTGTCACGACAAAACCAACATAGTGGATTTGCGATCAGCATAGATCCAGACCAACCTGCGCTACCGCGCAATCTGATCAGGATCCATGCTGTTCGCTTACCAACTCTATTACAAGTGGAGAAACTGACAGCGAACAGCATGGATCCTGATCAGACTGCGCGGATGCGCAGGCTGCTCTGGATCCATGCTGGTCGCAAACGCACTATGTTGGTTTTGTCATGGCGCGGCTTAAAATATCTAAGCATTGTGTCAATGATATACCATTAAACAGCAGACTGAGACATATATTAAATTATTCTTGTAAAGCAAATACATTTGTATATATCTAATGAAGACATATAAGAACATACAAAAATGATGGTTTGTCCGAATTTGTCTCATTTTGTGAACAACTAAACATACGCACATAAATCTAATAACATAACCAAAGTTTATCAACATCTCGGTTTAAAAAAAAAAAAGAAAAAAAAAGGAAATAAGGAAATTTAATAACAATGAATTAAATTTGATAGTCCCTACATTTAAACCTACTCTCCGTAAAGTATACTGCTATAGATATATATCCCTTGAGACGTTTTTTCCATTTGGTATAAACGAATACAGTTACAGCATAACCTTTTTGAAACGTAAATGATACCATATTTAAGGTTAAAAACACTTTAAACTCTTAGAATCGACATTGTCCTTTCGCAACACAAAACTGATATATATCATATATAACTTACAGATCCAAAAACGCAATGTTTCATTATGTCTATTTTTTGAAGCGGTCATTACTTATTTCCTACTTATGTTATATTTATTGATATAAGAATTTAAAAATCCTTCTGCAATTGAATCATTGATTTTATCATAATCAGATATATCTGAATGTATTTGATAATTACTTCTTAGGGATTATCAATAAATATATATCGTCTGCTAATTGAGAAATAATAAACAACGCATATTATTTTGTCAGTGTCAACTTAATGGTTTTATATTATCAGGCCATACATTTTATCAATATAAATCTTTTTCAAGTCAAAAAGCTGATATTGAAACACTGCATGGTATTTAGTTATTAGGTAAATACATTGGATATAAAAAATGTGAATCAAAAGTTTATAGTAAAGAGAAAATGTCTTTGAAAGGAAGAGGTACATTTATACATTCCGCTTAATTATGGTGATGCTTGTCTTAATTTTGAAACGGGCTAAATATAAGCAATACTTAAAAAAAGAAGAATAAAGAAAAGAAAATTGTAGATCAAAATATACGAAAATTCGCGAGGGTGGTCGTTTGTTCCAGATTAATTATTTATAGTACATTTTAAAGAAAATGTATTTTTGTCCAAATTGGAATCTAACCACTGAGAAAAAGTTTTTGTTGGTTTTCTGTATAAATAGTTATCCTGTATTTCCAGTTACTAATTGGCCAATACATATAATATTAAGTAGTATTTAATCGAAAGTTCCATAATAGTATTACTCTTAAACAAAACATATTAAGCCGACAAGGTATTGAAACTTTCTACTTGCATTATGTATACAAAATATCTTACCGTTATAATGCATAGTGGAGTTAACATCAGATTACAGATCAAAGGATTGAAGAAAATCAGTGTGGACCACATACGCTTCTTTATCTGCTTTCTAGGGTACGTTTTTTCAGGTGCAAAATCGTTTGGAAAAGTACATCTTTATAGAATCAGGTTACTGTATATAAAGGATTATATAAATAAAGAAAAATAAATTGAATTATTGCGAATGTTTCTGTTCAGATGTCGTGTACTTGTTTCTGTGCACCTAGAACCGCC